TACTGGTTGCTGGTGAGTTTCTAGGAAAGAACAAGCCACATCGAATGGACACAAGTTATGTACTAAATCCTCTAGCAGAGTAGAAGGGGGGAAATGGCGGTAGCTTAAGAACATTCACTTCATATTAAATCTATTTTTATTTTGTGGTGCACTCAGACAATCACCACACTGTATACATTGGGAGAAATAAGCAGTCCTACAAATAAAACATAAGTGGAACTTTACAGTGTATAATCTAGCAGACAGATTGGTCTATACATGCACTGCATTACTTGCTAGACTTAATGAATTGCAGACTTAATTAACTTACATGTATAGGTGACGGTGTTATCAGAACAAGAACGAAAGATGTGGGTAAATTGCACTGTGGTCCAAACATTTGACTTCCTAAAGGCCAGAGAGCATTTTCTTCCTGGCAAGCCTCATTTGCAGCCTTTGTTAGTTGCTATGTAAACACTTGAAATGCTCAAACCACACTATGATGCCAAGCCATGGAAGCAAAACCAAAAGCATTAGTGAGAAAAGAATGAAAAATAAACAGCCGCTAAATCTCAGCTGGGGCTTTAGGGCATGCCGCTATTCTGCAAAGAAAATGAAGCATATAGTCAGAGGCATTCAAAAAAGTGCTTTTAAGTAAGGCAGGTACCTTTCCCCAGAGAAAACACTGGTGCCTGCTGTGCCATTAAATTAGCCCTTAGTCATGCAGGCAGGCGGGAAAGGAGTGACTGGCTCAAGCTTAACATGTCTGTGAACTGTAGGCAGCCAGCAGTCAGCAGAGCAGCTAAAAGAAAAGGTATCTGGCATTTCTAAATAATTGACAAATTTCTGTAGAGAGAAAACAGACCCTGTTGTGACAGTGACGCACACACAAAATGGCAGGGGGTTGGACTGGATGGCCCTGGTGGTCTCTTCTAACTCTATGAAAATAAGCCTAGCCTTGTTGCCTTTGTCATTCACAACAGAAGGGGAAATTATCCATACACATAGCTTTTCTATCCTGCCTTCATGTAATATATGTGATTCTCCCACCTACCATATCCTTAAGTGTGTTGTATATTGTACTGTCAACCCATACAATGTGCTAGTGGAAGAAACAGTGATGCCTTCCAACATGGCCAGCTTTAAAAGGAAAATTAAGTTGATTAATGATTATTGATCATTATCTCAATACAGGTTGATCATTACATTATTGATTATCATTATCTCAAACTTTCATACAGTGAAGAAGAAGAACTTTATTTTTCTACCCCGTCTCCATCTTCCCGAAGGGACTCGGGGCGGCTTACATGGGGCCCAAGCCCAGGCAGAATACAATTAAAATAAATCAATAACAATTAAAACAGCATAAAAACAGCATAAAACAACATAACAAAAATAGCTAGCAACAACAATAACAGCAGACTAATTTTGGGGGGGGGAGGAAAACCACTACGTGAACTAGTTAAAGGATAAAGTGGTTTAGTAAGGTAGATGACAATGTAAAGTGAAACCAGTGTTAACAGAGCAAATTAACAGGATCAGTTAATATAATATAGGACATCAGATTGAATGACAATTCAAGTCATGATACAGGCCATTTGTCATAGGAGTCATCAATCGAAAGCACGGCGGAACATCCACGTCTTTAATTCCTTACAGAATGTGGCTAGGGAGGGTGCCAGCCTAATCTCCCTGGGGAGGGAGTTCCAGAGACCGGGGGGGGGCACCACTGAGAATGCCCTCTCTCTCATCCCCACCAGCCGTGCCTGAGACGGGGACGGGAGCGAGAGAAGGGCATTCCCGCAAGATCTTAAGGACCACATGGGCTCGTAAGGGAGGAAGCGGTCACACAGATAGGCAGGCCCTGAACCGTTTTGAACTTTATAGGTGATAACCTGCACCTTGTATTGGGACCAGAAACTTATCGGCAGCCAGTAGAGCTGTTTAAACAGTGGCCCTTATTTTACATGCCGGTAAGGTAATGCTCAAGATCCTGCAAGGTAGGCTCCAGCAATACATGGAGCGAGAGTTGCCAGATGCACAAGTTGGGTTTAGAAAAGGCAGAGGAACGAGAGACCAAATTGCCAATATCCAGATGCTGGATAATGGACAAAGGCAGGAAATTTCAGAAAAACACATATTTCTATTTTATTGACTATTCTAAAGCCTTTGACTGTGTTGATCATAATAAATTGTGGCAAGTTCTTGGAGGTATGAGGATCCCAAGTCACCTTGTCTCTCTCCTGAGGAATCTGCATAAGGACCAAGTAGCAACAGTAAGAACTGACCATGGAATGACAGACTGGTTTAAGATTGGGAAAGGTGTATGGCAGGGTTGCATACTCTCACCCAACTTATTCAACTTGTATGCAGAACACATCATGCGATGTGCGAGGCTTGACGAATGCAAGGCTGGAGTTAAAATTGCTGGAAAAAACATTAATGGCCTTAGATATGCAGATGATATCACTTTGATGGCCGAAAGCGTGGGGGAGCTGAGGAGCCTTCTAACCAAGGTGAAAGAAGAAAGTGCAAAATCTGGGTTGCAGTTAATTATTAAAAAAACCCAAGATTCTGGCAACCAGACTGATTGATAACTGGCAAATAAAGGGAGAAAATGTGGAGGCAGTGACAGACTTTGTATTTCTAGGAGTGAAGATTACTGCAGACGCAGACTACAGCCAGGAAATCAGAAGACGTTTTTACTTCTTGGGAGGAGAGCAATGACCAATCTTGATAAAATAGTGAAGAGTAGAGACATCACACTGACAACGAAGATCCTCATTGTTAAAGCAATGGTATTCCCTGTAATAACCTACAAATATGAGAGCTGGACCATAAGGAAGGCCAAGCGAAGATGCTTTTGAACTGTGGTGCTGGAGGAAAATTCCAAGAGTGCCTTGGACCGTGAGAAGATCCAACCAGTCCATACTTCAGGAAATAAAGCCCAATTGCTCATTGGAGGGAAGGATAGTAGAGGCAAAGATGATGTACTTTGGCCATATCATGAGAAGGCAAGAAAGCTTGGAGAAGACAGTGATGCTGGGGGAAATGGAAGAAAAAGGGAACAGAGGCCAACCAAGGGCAAGATGGATGGATGGTATCCTTGAAGAGACTGGCTTGACTCTGAAGGAGCTGGGGGTGGTGACAGCTAACAGCGAGCTCTGGCGTGGGCTGGTCCATGGGGTCATGAAGCGACTGAACGAATAAACAACAGAAGCGACTGAACGAATAAACAACAACAATCTTAATACAGGTATATCTAGTTAACAAAGCAAATGTGTATCCAGGCATTAATTCTTTAACAGAAAATCTGGTACCAGGGGCAGAAATAATAGGGAAAGAATAGAGACTGGTCCCTATAACACCACCAAATAAAAATTTTAACATATAGGAGTCAATAACTCTGTCCTCCCTGCTCACCACTTTTCTCTGTGTTTATCTGTTCACTCACACTTTGCAATGGAATATGTTGTTTATCTTGTTTTTATAGGTAAGCACACACAGTTATGGAGGATCAGCTAGAACAATGGTTCTCAACCTGTAGATCCCAAGGTGTTTTGGCCCACAACTCACAGAAATTCCAGCCAGTTTACCAACTGTTAGGATTTCTGGGAGTTGAAGGCCAAAACATCTGGGGACCCACAGGTTGAGAACCACTGAGCTAGAATCAACTAAAGTATGCCTGTGTGTAAGTTACAATATCAGAGCCTCAAATAACATTTGCTGGGAAAGATTTAGGCTACTGAACTCAAGTCCTGATTATGAACTTCTCACAGGTATCATGTTGGCTCTGTGGAAGAGAACGCTGGACTAGATAGGCCTTTAGTCTGATCCAAAATGGTCCTTTGTATGCTCTAGTCTAGTGGATACATCTTAAATACAACTGTAATTTCTAGGAACTTCATGACTATTTAATATAAATAGCTTAGTTCCTGATTGGTTCTAGTCTAAGAATAATCTATAGTTTTCTTTCTCTGTGCAAGAAGCAGATGATCAAAACCAGAATATGGCAAGTTTCTCTCTTAATTTCATCTGATAGAAAACAGTACATACTCCACAAATGACATATATGCACTTCCCCAACTAGGATTTCATCTATACTGAAGACTGAAGACAGTTTGACACTACTTTAACTGCCATGGCTCAATAGTATGGAATCATGGGAGTCTCAGTTAACTTACTTATTTATTTTCATTTATTGTATCAGAAGTGATCCAAGGGTACAGTTATAATGTATTTAAAAAACAGTTTAAAATCTTGGCATTATATTAAATGTCTTTTGACCAGAAGCTGGCCACCTGGAGTGCCTCTGGTGTTGCTATAAGAAGGTCCTCCATTGTGTATGTGGCAGGGCTCAGGCTTCACTGTAATAGGTGGTCTGTGGTTTGCTCTTCTCCATGCTCGCATGTAGTGGACTCCACTTTGTGGCCCCATTTCTTAAGGTTAGCTCTGTATCCCATGATACCAGAGTGCAGTCTGTTCCACGTCCTCCAAGTCATCCAGTCTTCTGTGTGCCCAGGGGAGAGTCTCTCATTTGGTATCAGCCACTGATTGAGGTTCTGGGTTTTAGCCTGCCACTTTTAAACTCTTGCTTGCTGAGGTGTTCCTGCGAGTATCCCTGTAGATCTTAGAAAACTATTTCTTGATTTAAGGCATTGGTGTGCTGGCTAATATCCAATATATATTCAGTTTGCTGGGGCACCAGCATTCTTTGGTCGAGACTTCAATTCCCATGATTCCACAGCATTGAACTATAGCCGTTAAAGTGATATCAAGCTACATTAATTCTACAGTGAAGATACACCCAAAGTCACCACTAAATCCATGGATGGCTGTATGCATCCTTGAGTATTGAACAACTGAATGTGTTGCCTTAGTCATATTTCTTGAATCAAATTGACTTCACATGTCAAGCTAACTAGAAGCTATGGTTTGAAAAGGAAGATTTTCCATTTTTAGACCCACTTGTCACTCTTGAGAAATGCCAGGCTTCTTTCATTTGAAAAAGAAAAAAAACATTTCTGAAACCGCAGAAATAATGATTTTAATGTTTTCTGAACTGATCCTGTCATGTAATTACAAGATAGAACTGAATGTTGCATATCACAGTATAGAAAAGCTGTCGCACAAAGGCCATTCTTGAACTGGCTGCCAATACAAATTAGGCTGGAAAAAGCAGGGCACTTGAATAACATTACAGGCTCCAAGTCATTGATTGTAGGGGTGTGAATAATACACGTTGTCTATTTTGAATGACAGGCAGTTGTTTGCATGTTTTGCATCATTAGGAACAGACACAGCAATTCCAACAGTACAGAGATTTTAAGATTTGCCTCCAAGTGCAAATTCGTCCAGTTTTTCTTAAATCATCGGGCTGTCATGCTTTTGTTTAGATGAGAGACATTTCCAACATTGAGGACAAAAGATACCACCACAAAAAGCTAATGAGCAACCATAAATGTTCACACTTTCACTTATCATGACAGATTTCAGTCACTCAGTTTCATAAGATTTAGTTAAGTATGGGTGGAAAAATAAGAACTTTTAGATTTGTTGGCTCTTTTTGGTATTATCACCTGTATGTTTTCTGATATAAAAATAGAAAGCCTTGGGATATTTTGAAGAAAATAATTAGATCACATCTCATCCTCATTTTGAAATATTTTATCATGTCAAACCTGCTGCATGGGTAAATAAGAACTGAAAACATAATTTTATGTGAAGGCAATTCCAGAAACATTGCACAATTGAGGTGATTCTGGATCAAACGGACAAACTACCAGGCTGTTTCCTAGTTCAAGGAACAGAAGACAGAAGCAGAATTCAAAACGATCTTAACAGATTAGAGAGATGGGCCAAAACTAACACAATGAAATCCAACAAGGACAAATGTAAGATACTCCACTAAGGCAGAAAAAAAATGAAATGCAAAGATACAGAATGGGGGATGCCTGGCTTGATAGCAGTACATGTGAAAAAAATCTTGGGAGTCCCCATGGACAACAAGTTAAACATGAACCAATAATGTCATACAGCCGCTAAAAAAGCCAATGGGGACTCCCAAGCTCCTTGAGGGAAGGGTTACGTATTTCTCTGGTTTTCCTTTCAATTGCTGGAAAATTTGGTATCCTAACACTTTGGTTTTTAAAGATGGGATTCTAAGCAGGCAGTAACTTTAGCATAGTAGGACTGGGCTAAAGTTAGAAGCCTGGGTCAGCTTGAGCTCCTGGCCTTTAGCCCAGCTTCCACCAACCTAGCAATTCCAAAGCAAAAAAAGAATGTGAGTAGATAAATAGGTACTGCTTGAAAGCAAGGGAGGTATTTTAAAGCAGCCCTAAAGGAAAAATGCTAGTGATCCGACAAAAAAAAGAAGGAAGTTTATGAACAAAAAAGCTCTTTGGCAGGGAGATGGAGCAACAGCACACACACACACACACACACACACAGTGGCTGGAACCGAGCACAAGCCTCCGAGATGCCGAGGATGGGGAAAAGCCTATATATACCTCTTTCTATGTACATTTGTCTGTCTTGTCTGTGTATACAAACGGCATTGAATGTTTGCCGTATATGTCTGTTTTGTGATTCTCCCTGAGTCCCCTCTGGGCTGAGAAGATCAAAATATAAATACTATAAATAAATAAATAAATAAATACACAAATAAATAAATAAATAAATACATACATACATAAACAAACTGTAATGCACACCTTTTTTGGTCAAATTACAAAGAGTGAATTTTTACTGTTGCGCATTACATTCGTCAGCAATTTTTTTTTGTTTCTTTGTTCCAGGGTTTTGAAAATTGAGGTGCGCATTACATTCAATGGCGCATTAGAATCGAGTAAATATGGTAGATGCTATAAGCCAAAAGGAGGTAAGGGGAGACAATGAACACAAAGCATTCATGGAAGTCTTCATTGGTGAAAAATAATAAAACACCAACAGGAGAAAAGTCTTAAAGCATGAATTGATACAGTTGGAGAAAAAAAGACTATATGTGGATAATGCAATGATGTATTTCACTTGTACTAACCTTGGAAAAAATAGAAAAGTGGGCCCTCAGACTGATTTGAGTTGCACATCTCTGCTTAATACAAAATACTTTTCCTGTAATGAATATAGATTGATAAAAGTGAACTACTGTCCTCAAACGTATGTGTGTGTGTATGAAACCAAAACAGTGCAAACTTTGAAAGACAAAAGCGCCACTTTTCAACCCTTGTAAACAGGGCCACTGCAACATTATTATCATTATTGTCATCATCATCATCAACAACAACAACCATTTTTCACAAACCTCTTCTAATGGGTTGAGGCAGGGAACAATAGATTAAAACACAGCAACAAACAGACACATTATGCAGTTAAGGACGTGATTGCCAATTGAAACACATAGTGAATTAAAATCACATTAACATCAGCTTAAAAGTGTTTTGGGGTTTTTTTTTGGGGGGGGGATAATTTCTAGTTGTGAAGGGTTGAAGCCATGGACATGGAATCCATAGATACGGACGGCCAACTGTACAAGGCAATATTTGCCTCCAGAAAGGCTAAAGGGTCCCTGGATCAGGGCCTACAATGATGCATGGATGGTTACAATCATGATTTTATATCCCTGGATACACGTTCTGCTTGGCTTCTTAGCATTTAACTGTGATCACCGTGGCCTTAAAACACATTTCAAGGAACTCTTGGTTTCTTGCACTGAATTTTCACTCTTCAGGATTTCAGTTCTGAATTCATTTGTTTCTGTAGGGCTTTGGAGGCTGAATGCTGGTGCCTTTTCAAGGATGCAATTTTTATCTAAAAAAAACAGAGAGCACTGTTATAATACATTTTCTAACAGATTTATTTATTTTATCACATTTGACTTCCATCAATTTCCCAAAATCTCTCTAGGTGTCTAAGCTTTCAGCTCCTATCAACTGCACTTAGCTGGTCTGGAAGGGATTAAATCCAGTAGATTCAGGCTGCTCTCTATAGTCTCTTTTTGCTCACCAGTGGCAGGATGGAGAGGAGGCCTCCAAGACCTAAGTATGATAGGGCTGTATCTCTTTGTTCTTTGAGTTTAAATCAACTCTTCTCTGTTGCCTGTACTATCAAGCCATGGATAGATAGTAGCTGAAGAAGGAGGATGCCCTCTGCCTTTCTGCCTAGCAGGATAGATCAATAATGCCCTAGGATAGAATTGCAGTCTGTCTTATATATAACAGATAAAAATTAATAATCTTGTGATGAGAACTAGGAGTCATCACTCCACTGGCTTTGCTTTAAAGTACTTATGTAGTCAGGCCACCCTGAGTCCCTTTGGGGAGAGAGGTGCGTATTAGAAATACATTATTATTATTATTATTATTATTATTATTATTATTATTATTATTATTATTTCCTGTCTTTCCTCCAATGAGTTCAAAGTGGCATACTAGGCCATCTTCTCTTCACTGTATTGTTATAATGTAGACCAGACGGAGATCAAATTACTAACCCAAGGTGACCCAATGAGAACTAGAACTTGGGTTTTCCAAGTTCTTGTCTGATAATCTACACCAGGCATGGGCAAAGTTGGAGCCGCCAGGTGTTTTGGACTTCAACTCCCACCATTCCTAACAGCCTCAGTGTTGGGAATCAGCCTGTGTTTGTGTTCCAGGATCATGATGCTTCTGATGATGTGGGCAATGCTGAGGAAAATGATGGTGCCGAGGCTGAAGTGCAAGATGGAGATGGTTTGGTCAATGATTTTCATGCAGACAATGGCAGAGAGGCCCAGTGCAAAGGGCAGTTTCTCATGAGAATATTCCTGCTGGACATAGGGATGATGGTTTACTCCCTCTTTCTGTGAGCTCTCAAGATTTGAGTTTGGAAAACTATCTGATGCCTGGAAATTTTAATGAGCAGCCAGAAAGGGAGTTGAAAAACAGGCGGCTGGAGTTTAACCAGGACTGACCACAAACTCAAGATTTACGTCGCTCCAAAAGGCTTCATCAGATAAGGGCCAAAGGAGGGGGGAAACGAAGCCAGTTTCTGGGTTTTGGGATATAAGGTTTGCTTCAAGGGAAAACCTGTTAGATCAGGCATCGTTTGGAAATCAAGTTCACATGCCATGTAAATCCTGTTTAAGGGGTCTTGTTCCTATGGATGCTTCTAGCCTTTTGGTGTTGATTAGCAGCGTTTGGATTGTCTTTGCATCCTGTTGATTCCTATTGGATATATACTGCCTTGGATTGCTTTTATATCTTTTATGGACATTACTTTGAGTTACTGCATTTTACTGACCTTTTGTTTCTTTGAACTTTCCTAATTTCTTACAAGCATTTTATTCTACTGGCTATTTTATTAAGCTTCAATAAAAAAGGATTTGTTTCTCAATGTGTGGTGTGTTTTAAAGTCAGAGGGCTTTTCCTGTTCTGGAGTGCAACACTCAGGCCTTTTCCTTTGCAGCTGAGGGGGGAAAGGATGGGGCCTGAGGCTGTTAGAGATGGTGGGAGTTGAAGTCCAAAACACCTGGAAGCCCCAACTTTGCCCATGCCTGCTCTACACTTTACTTCATTTGTTTGCCATAATTAGCCCTTGCTTCCAAGGGAATATGCTTTATTATGGCAGGAGTAACATGATCCATCCTAGATGAGGCAGATAGATTGCAGTGCCAGAACATATCAGCATTGGACAGCACCACAGTAACTGTTCTCCTGACATGAGCTGAATTTCTGATGCAATACTGTGACGTCATTGAACAAGGCAAAGTTGAGGGATTTTTTTTTTTAGAATAGCTTCTTAAATCCCCCATCTAGTATACCTAGTGTGTGGTTCACAATTCTGCAAAATAAATTATTGCTGACCTCTATGTGCTGTTGGACTAAAAACCCATGTACTCTACTTTGTCATCCAAACTCATGAGACTCAAAATGGTATATTCCATTTATTGTCTGAAGCATGAAAAATAGACCAGCTACAGATTTTTTTAAAAAAAAATAAATTCTCCTAGGATTTGTTTTGTTATTTTTCCTTTAATTCTAAATCCCCATTGATCTGTGATTCCTTTCTTGAAATATCTCTTGCCGAGCGAGAAGACCAGAGCTTTCATTACAATAAATGTTATTTCCTTTATTCACATAAATCAGTATTTATCACATAGATTCCTTTTAAAGACCGAATGCTTCTGCTGATTCACCTCTGCTCTGATGCACTCAACATGTTGATCTTTTCAATGTGACTTCTTATCTTCCTTTCCCTCCCTACAACACTATAATGGCACACAAACAGGATTGAGGGAGCAGAACAATGCTAAACCTCTTAACATAAGCTTCTTTCTAAGGAAACACTATCTTCCTAACTGAAGGGGCTACAGATTTTTTTGCCAGAGTTATTTTCATGAAAAGGTTCAAATTGTGGCCTCCATAATAAAGCTTGATACTTTCAGTGCCAATTGGAAATCCTCTAATTTGATATAAAGCAGGAGTGGACAACACATTGCTCACAGCAACGTGTTGCTTCCCTGTGTATTTTCCATTCCTCAGCACTTCCTGCTGCTGCTGCAACAATGAATGCCACTGAAAGTTAGCATTGCTGCAAAAAGATCCAATTCCTCTTTTTCTTCTTATCTGAAAGAGAACAGTGGTAGCAGCAATCTTTCTGGGCACAGAAATGGCATTTGAATGAGCATTGCTTGAGACACTCACAATGAAGATGTCCAACCCTGGTATAAAGGAGTGACCTATTAAAGAACAAAATAAGAAGTTGAGAAGAGGCATGCTGGATGAGAGAAAAGGCCTCTCTAGTTTAATATTCATCACAATCAATTGCCTATGTGTATATAGCATATGTGTATATACCATATGGTCTTGCTCTGAGAATGAGATAAGATTTCTTTTCTCTTTTTTGTAATTGAAAAAATCACAACCCTCACTTTTTCCTCAAAAACCTCTAAAAAAACAGTGATCCTAGAACTCAACTTGCACAAAACAGAATGTCCTTAGTGTTGGAATTCAACCCCACACTGCTCAAGTCTGCAGTCCTCAATGAGAAGTTAGTTAGAATTAGAATAGTCTAAGGGTTTCCCTTCCCTCATGTCTCCTGAATGACAGTTTGAAATATATAATAATAATAGTAATAATACTTTATTTATACCCCGCCACCATCTCCCCAAGGGGACTCGGGACAGCTTACATGAGGCCAAGCCCAACAAAACAACATAACAGTATAACCAACACAGTAATAAAGTAAAACAAAAAATAAAATACAATGCAGAAACCATTATAAATAACATATCAACAATAAGACACAACATTTAAAAACATAAGAATCCAACACTACGGGCAGGGCCAAATCTAGTAGATTAAAAATTTAAAACACTGGGTGTGACAGCAGTGAAATGAGTCTGAATCGGGGTTATTAGAGGGTAGGGTAGGGTTAATTGCCCCCAAAGGTAGAATAAAGTGCTTCAGATGACATTTGCAGAGAATTGGTCAGATCAGGGAATTATTAATCTTCATTCAGGGAAGGAACATTGGAATAACCACATTTTCAAGCTCCTCCTAAAGACTGCCAGTGAGGGGGCTTTCCTAATATCCTTAGGGAGCAAGTTCCAGAGTCGAGGGGCCACCACAGAGAAGGCGCTCTCCCTCATCCCCACAAGTTGCACCTTCGAAGAAGGCAGGAGTGAGAGAAGGGCCTCTCCGGATGATCTTTTCTCTCTAACTGTTCTCATTCTGATTGATTATTTAAAATAGATACTTTTCTACTACAAGCCTTTTTTGAATCTGACTTCTGCCTTCTTACATTTTAGTATGGAGAGTATGTGCTGTGTGCTTTGAGATCTCTCTTTGCGTGTATCAGGAGAGATGCAGTGCTTGGTGTTTTTCCCTCTCTTCGAAACCTTAGAAGAGATGGGTGTTAGAGAGCTCTTTACCATGAAGAAATGTAGTTAGTTCTTTATTATTGTAAATAAACATTTTGTGATTGGACTCTGCGTGTTTGCCTCCTAAGCTCTGACTTCTTTACAGCCACATCGCACGGCACTTCAGCTTTGCTCACTAATGACCTGGTGTTCAACTGTTGTATCCTGTTTGTTTTTAAATGATCTGCTATATTTTAGAGTAGTTTTTCCTAACACTTAGATAAGTTAAGCCACCTTGGGTCCTGTGCAATGAGAAAGGCAAGGTATAAGCCAAATGAATAAATAACATAATAAAATAATCATCACAGCACCCATTTTCTCATTACAATACAGTGCTAATAATACTGACCCAGCTTATAGGGGTATTAAAAGGACTGTGCTGAGTAGGCATACATGTAATATTACAACGACACCAAAGTACCACTTAAGTGTTGCAACCATTATCAGAAGCGGAATGTATTATTTCACAGCAAGCGGTGTAGAATGGTTTATAATCTTTCTTTTGCAGCAGATGAAGTCTCATAGAATTTCATTCCTGATCTCATAGCTCCTGATCTCAAATGGAAATGGAGTCTGAGGTGCAAAGAGAAAAATAGGAGACATATACAAAGAGCATTGTACTTATTTGTTTGAGGAACTGGTCTGTACATACCTTTCTTTAACATAAAGAATTCCTCCTAGTTTCTTCATCTGAAACATAAAACAAAACAAAAAAACACTTTAAAAAAACAGGCCTTTCCAATTACAAGTCACAAAGTGTGTGGGAGGGTGGTGAATATTACTCCATTGCAGTAAAAGTGACAAAGCGACACCCATTTTTTCCCTTTGGCATAAACTTTCATGAACTGCAACTGCAGTCCGTTTTAGGAGATGCATAGACAATTGCCTCAGGTGGCAGATTGTTATAAACATGTTGGCATAATATCAATAACCCACACTCAAGGATCTATATACAGTAGACTCTTCACATTTGGCAGGATTAAGGGGACCCGCAAAAGCGGGGAAGGCACACATATAAATTAAAAAAAATCACAAATGCTATTTTTTTAACCTGAGATAATATTTCTAATTTAATTTAATAACTTTATTTATATCCCGCCCCCTCTCCAAAAGGACTCAAAGTGGCAACAAAATTAAATCATAACACATACATAAACCAAATCAAAAAGACAGGGCATATAATATAACCAACATCCATATATAACCAATTCTACTTTATATTAATTGGCCCAGTTAAAAACACAGGAGACAGTATGCCACTACTTCACTGTGGCTTTTGGCAACTGTACCTGCATGGGGACAGACTGGCATGCTGTTATATGCCAGTAACACGCTGAATAAGGTTTAGTCTATATACACACCAGAATGAGATGATAGAATGCACAACATCACTTCAATATTCAAAGTGGGGTAATCCCATTTTGGAAAGGTCACCTATGTTTACAAGGCTGTAAAATTCTCTTCTTGAAGTGGTCAGAAAGCCCCCACCCCCCTCTCATATTCTTCTGGTAAGTCTTTTCATTTTGATAGACCTTTGGAAACTGGTTGTTGGGAGATGAAGAAAGAGGCTACAAAGTCCACTCTTGTTGCTACATGCTTCCAAGTTATCTTCAACGTATGGCAATCCCACCCTAAGTTTTTGTGGCAAGGTGTATTCAGAGGTTGCTGCCTTCCTACAGCATCTGGACTCCCCTCCAACTATTAACCAAGACTAATCTAAGTTTTCTAAATCAAGCTGGATCAGGAGTCTTCATAGTATTCAGGCTTGCTATTTTTTGGATGTTAATAAAGGCATTTTTAGGTCCCTCAGAAATAAGTCCAGCAGAAACCGACCACAAAATCATGCTGAAGGATCTACAAATGTTTATTTTGGTTGCATTTAAGGCAACAGCTACAAATAAAGCACTTCACAAAGAATCGAATATGAGAATGGCCATATAGCCCAAAAAAACCTACAACAACCCAGAATATGTGAATGCTTAACCCACAATTGTAGAAAGACAGCTGTAATGCCAACTCCCTAAATCTTAGCTTCTAAAATATATGTTACCAGGTCTGAGGAAAAGTACTCCAGTAGTTTGGGCAGGGATGGAAAATCAGTAATGTTTAAGATATTGCTGAACTCCAACTCCCACCAGTCCCGGCTAATATGGCATATTACCACTAATATGGGAGTTGAAACTCAGCAACAACTGGAAGTGTTTGGATTTACTCTCACCGAGTTAGACTGGAAGGGCAGAGTGAACCTTACTTTTTTCCAGTTCTCACTCTCACTTTCATGACATACAAAGTTTTATTTATGATTCATACCAAGCAAACTATTTAAAATGCTTTGCTATTTATACTAAAGAGGAGAATATTCATTCAAAGCACTGGTGTCTACTCCCTGATTAAATTAACAGCTACATAATTATGATAAAGCAACCTCATAAATAAATCTTGAATTAATAACTAAGAGGAATTCAAAATGTCAGTTTGACTGCAAAGGTTGTATCGTTACGTTGAAACATAGTAGTGTAAAGGTACGCTTTCACTGCAGTAAGATCATCTCAATAAATGAGGTGTCAGAGGAGATATGTATAGTATTTAAGAGTAAAAGATTTTCTATCAAGATAAGGATTAAGATAAATCCCTATTGATATACAGTATGTTTCAAACCAGGTTGCTATAGTTACTAAATATGCAACTGAGTGATCATTCTCAGGTCATTTTCAGCAGATGAAACTGCAAATTATTTTATATGACTTGGACTACAGTTCCTTCAACTGGCACATTTGCTGTGCTTGAAAATTCATATAATTATATCTGTAATTAACAATCTTTGCTCCTCCCCACCCCAACAGAAATCAATACCTTTATTTCCTTCCTGTCTACTGTTGACAGCCTTTATATTAATGGTTAGCAATGTTTTAGGGCTCTTTTGCTTAACAGGCAGTAAAGATAAAGTGGAAATAACTGGAACTTGTAAATTAAATTAGCAAAAGTCGAAAAATTAAACGTGGCTAGCTTCCCCCTCCACCTTTTCCTCTTCCTAACATGGCTCCTCTGCTTTTACACTTGAAAATAAACATGAATATGCATATAAAAATAAAAAGTGATAAAATTCAGAAGAAGGAATTGGCAAAACCATATTTTGAGTATTCCTTGCATAACAAAACCCTATGAAATTGAGGGATACCATAAACTGACAGGTGACTGGGATGAGCCAGGACAAGATTAATAAAAAGGTTAATTTCTGTTGGGATTTTCTATCTGGTTGGGATAGTTCAGTGGTTCTTAACCTGTGAGCCACAGACCACCAGTGGGCCGTGAGGATGATAATCTGATCTGCAAGCCTCCTTCCTCTTTATTTATTTTATTTCCACTGCTTTTGCACCGCCTGTCACTCCTTCCCTGTCTCTGTCCATGGCATATATTCTGTATCAGAAACTAGAGCTGATGTGGTCTATCCAATGCAATTTTCTGAATTAGCACCCCAAATAACCAAACTGAATCTAAAGTTGACCAAAAACTGATTCATAACCCTTTTGGTACTAATGTTAGAGAGTGGTCCCTGGTCAAGTGGTCCCTGGTCAAAAAATGTTGGAAACCACTGGGATAGACAAATGGAGAAGAGAGAGAAAATATTGTCCCCCTTCTTTCCCCATCCCAAATCAGGAAAGCAGATCCCCGAGAAAGGTTGCTGAGGTACTGTGATATAGTATTTTGAATGCTGAATTACAATTTTGGAAAACCAAAGTTTGAATCCCTGTTTGCCCCTGTAATCCCATTTGGGCAAGTCACACTCTCAGGTTCAGAGGGAAAGGAAAACCAACACCCTCTCAACAAATCATGCCAAAAATATTGTGATAGGTTCACCTTATAGTTGTCATAGGTGGGACATGACTTGAAGGTACCAAAGAAAATTGCCTATTCTTACGGCCATCTCTAACTTTATGGTCAAATAATGTAAAGTAGATTATAAAAGGAGTGATTCTGAAAATATAATAAACATAGCTGGTGGATGAGTAACATCCAAGAATCATATTTATTGGTTATGGATCCAAGAAATATATGAGGCAACAGCCTGAAATGTCTATGCAGTACAACCTCCATAACAGTGGGACCATTATCCACTGTTTCATTTATTCACATCTGGCACAATACATCCTCCATAGGCATTTTCTAAGTCCTCCAGCATGACTTTATGGTATTCTTGGATAAGAAGTCCTTCATTTCAATAGTTTGAAATTATCTGCAGTTTTGTGCATCCATTTGAAGTTGGAGAAGGTAAGTTGCATTGAATTAAATGCTGCATTTTTCCAGATAAGCCTGATGTTAAAGTGCAAGGATGTTAGGGACCAATGCATTCAGAGGCAAATCAATTGCATAAGCCCTTAGCATGGAAAAATGCAAAAAAAAACAACAAGTTTTGTTACTTAAGGGCAGAAGATCTTGAACAGCACAGACTAAACAAAGGCATAAAAAAGAGGAAGACAACTTTGAAATTACTAGTTCCTTCTGCAAATAAAACTGTGCATTTAAAACATTAATAAAACTACTTGTGCCATACAGCCTCTGAAGTCAGTTACCATTTGTTGTGCTAGCTCTTTCTTTTGGGAACAGAATCCAAGAATACATGGAGGCCCAAAGCTCTCCCACCCGTGGTTTAAATGTTCCCCAGATATCACATGTGCTCAACTGGTTGTATGTTTTCCACTTTTTCTGATAACAATAATTGTGTTGTTAAAAACAAAACTCGGCAACTAATATTTTTGCTTCTACCCATTCGAAAAATATCAAAATAATTATTCAGAAAGAGCTAATGGTAGGTGTAGCTTTTCTTATTTAGAAGGAAATATAGTCAAGTTACATAAATTCATAGAACAGGTGCTTTGACTTGGTACAAAGTAAGTGTGATAAAAAAAACACAAGACACTGGGATTGAGAATCTTTTAATCAATAGACTTCAGTTCCTGGCATCACTGGTCAATGTCCCATTAGGAGCTATTAATTAAATGATGTTTTTTGTTTTTGTCAGAAAGAGCTTCACCTTTAGGGGGAAACTAGAATGATAGTTTCTTTCTAATTAAAATCAGGTGCAACCCTTTGTTTTGATGTCTGCTTGCAGACTACATGCAAAAACCTTTTTGCACCTCTTTATTTAGATCAGTACATTTTTCATTTTAGAAATAATGTCTTTTCTTTGCATAATTTACAAATAGGGTTGGAAAATATGCAAGATTATCACTAAAATTACCCAATTCACATCCTTCTGAGATTTTGTTGAGTGAGACAGCATGGCTCTTAAATGTGTCTTTATTTGTGAGGCCTGTGGAATATTTAATATGCAAAAAAATTATGCATACATGTCAAAAACATGAAGGTTAAAATGAATAGAGAGCTACACTATTGCTAGCTATTTCACATTTTCTAGGATTACAGAGGAAGGTAAAGGTTTCCCCTGGACATTAAGTCTAGTTGAGTCTGACTCTGGAGGTGGTGCTCATCTCTATTTCTAGGTCGAAGAGCCAGAGTTGTCCATAGATGCCTCCTAGGTCATGTGGCTGGCATGACTGCATGGAGTGCTGTTACTTTCCTGTTGAAGCGGTACCTATTGATTTACTCACATTTGCATGTTTTCAAACTTCTAGGTTGGCAGAAACTGAGGCTAACAGTGGGAGCTCGCCCTATCTTGTGGATTCGAACTGCCAACCTTCCAATCAGCAAGTTCTGCAGCTTAGTGGTTTAACCCACTATGCCGCCACGGCCCCTCAGATTACAGAGTAGTATCAGATAAAACTGCTGTCATTGTCATTGGGAGGGGAAAACTCCAACCAAGCCTATTTCGGCTCCAAGCAAACCTATTTCTTGGATGCAACAGTTCTTTCGTAACTGCTGAGACCAGAGACTTTTCTTTCAAGCTCCAACATGAAGGCTCAACAGGAGGTTGGCCAAAGATACTCCCCAAAGGATTTTAGAAAATAAGCTACAATTTGTACAAATGTATCTTTTAGAAAATAAAGACATATATTTTGGAATATGTATATGGAAAATATGCTCAAAATTCAACATGCAAAGAAAAAAACAGGATTTCAGAACGTGGTTTAAACAAGGAGGGATACAGATATGTAGGTTATAGAAATGCACTGAAAATTAGTTTTTCATATCCTTGTATTTAAGCTAATGATTTCATGCTTCTACAACTTGGTTGAGGGTAAATATCAAGGAGGGTTAGAAAGGGCTTGCTTTTGGCTTCCATAATAAAATGCAATTTATTACCATTTTGTTAGGATGCAGAAATATCCGAGGAAACTTTTTGAATCTCCTGTAACTGAACAATCAGGAAATGCTTATATGTTGCACGAAAGAAGGGCTAACCCAGTGTTTCTCAACCTGGGCGTCGGGACCCCTGTGGGGGTCGCGAGAGGGTGTCAGAGGGGTCGCCAAAGACCATCAGAAAACATAGTATTTTCTGTTGGTCATGGGTTCTGTGTGGGAAGTTTGGTCCAATTCTATCATTGTTGGTGTTCAGAATGTTATTTCATTGTAGGTGAACTATAAATCCCAGCAACTACAACTCCCAAATGTTAAGGTCTATTTTTCTCAAACTCCTCCAGTGTTCACATTTCAGCATATTGAGTATTTGTGCCAAGTTTGGTCCAGATCCATCACTGTGTGAGTCCACAGTGCTCTCTGGATGTAGGTGAACTACCACTCCAAAAATTCAAGGTCAGTGTCCACCAGATACTCCCAGTATTTTCTCTTGGTCATGGGAGTTCTGTGTAACAAATTTGGTTCAATGTCATCATTGGTGGTGTTCAGAATGCTCTTTGATTGTAGGCGAACTATAAATCCCAGCCACTACAGCTCCCAAATGACAAAATCAATCCCCCTCACAACCCCACAAGTATTCAAATTTGGGCATATTGGGTATTTGGGATTTGAAAATACATCTTGCATATCAGATATTTACATTACGATTCATAACGGTAGCAAAATTACAGTTACGAAGTTGCAATGAAAATGTTATGGTTGGAGGTCACCACAACGTGAGGAACTGTACTAAGGGGTCGCGGCATTGGGAAGGTTGAGAACCACTGGGCTAACCCAATCCAGAACATTGCTGAAAGTCAATGATTGTCGTTAGTTTACAACTGAAGCCACAACAAACAAAACTGATTGACAACATGAATATGCATGCTTCTGACAGAGGAACCTAGGATTAGGGCCATTTTCTCGTATTTGAGGGATCAGATTCATGATGTAACTGTACTCTTCTTGGATCCAACATCACACCCTTCAACTGTCTTGATTTAACAGGAATTGTCTCAATCAATCCTCTGTCTTCCCACTTTTTCAACTGTTTTTAAAATGTTCAAGTTTCTCCTTCCTCCTCCCAGTTTTCCTCTTTGTCCTTTGCTCACTTCAACTCTGTAAACTAAATCCAAAGTGCAAAAGTAGTTTGCTTCTCATTAACTTAGCAAGGGGGAGAAGAGAGGATGGAATCTTGTCTTTTCCAGAACACTACAAAAGATATACACTTTAGTCTCTTTTAGCTTGTGTGTTCCTCCTCAGTAATTTTTGCCACACTTTCATATCCATTAGCTACTAGTATCCCAAGTGTGAAACACTGGAGAGTGTGCGACACACCTTTTGGACTCACCAGTCACTAAGTGGAGATTTTATCAATTTGTAGATTATGGCTAAATTTAGGCATAAATCCAATCACTAACCCCAACTAAAGTATAGCCACTGAATCAAATGGCAGATTAGAAAATGTTGGCGTACTATTCAGAAATGTATTTAGTGAATTTACTCTATTGGAACCAGGAACTGGATTTGGGCCTAAGAATTTGGGGATCTGCCCACTCTCATCCATGTCGTTGTAATTCTCAAGATGGAGTATGAAATCTGTTGTTCCTTAGGACATCATTTAAAGTAGTTCAGTTTTTTCACCTAGTGTCAAACACTGGTTCCCATTTCCTAATGCTATGAAGTATATGAACACAGGTAAAATATACCTTTCAAATGTTGAAAAAGAATACTACAATCACATATTCATTGCATGAGAGTAATTCCCATTGAATTCCATGGATTTTGCTTCTAAATAAACGTGTAGATGATTTTATAAATCTGGATCAGCCTAAAATACTAGGTCAGTTATAAATTTCTAGAAGATGTTCAGAAGCACCCAACTTAAAAAAATATCAATAAGCAGAACAGTGTGTCGGAGCATGTAAAAATCAGTTGGTGAGTGTGTTGACTGAAAAATGCAAAGCATGAAGCTGATTGGTTGGGCTTGCCTGGGATGCTAGCTGAGCCAGGGAGTTTTGGCAACAGTTACATTTTAGGTTTTCTGTGCAGAAGCTTGCCAAGACATATCAGTATATTTCCTGCTTCTGAGCTGCTGGAAGAAGATTCTCCACATGGACACCCAAGGAACATTCAAATCTCTCTCAAAGGACATTGTGTGAGTCAATGCAACTATTCACATTACTGTATATATGTTGTTCTGCATGTGTTGTCGAAGACTTTCATGGTTGGAATGACCTCACAATCTCTGAGGATGCCTGCCATAGATTGAGGTGAAATGTCAGAAGAGAATGCTTCTGGAGCATGGCCATACAGCCCGAAAAATTTACAGCAACCCAAAGAGTAAACAGCTTATTCTTTACTGGTCATCTACGTGGCATATCTTTTCTCTAGAAAGACAGTGTATAGATTGGTAAAGACGTGAACTATGCGTGATTTACATTCCGCCACAGAATGCATTTTTTTTTTGTTGTGGGCCTTAAACTACTGAAGAGTTTTTCTTGGCAGGATTTGTTCAGAGGGGATTTGCCCTTGACTTCCTCTAGGGTTGAGAATGTGACTTGCCTAAGGACTCCCAGTGGGTTTCCATGGCTAAGTGGCAATTTGAAGTCTATTTCCCAGCATTTTAGTCCATATAAGTAACATTGTTACCTTGTTAAGGTAAGTATCAGTCTTTGTCACTGTAAATTAGATTGTTCACATAATATTTAAGATCTCAATATTTTTGCTCCAGAAACTCTCAAAGTGATATTTAATATATATTTTTTCAACATATTTTTATGCTTCCCAAGCCAAATTCCTGAGGATGTAACAATCCAGTCCTTGGCCATAGCATCATGAAATCCATACTATCTGAAATAAAATGAAGGTTGCTCTAGGTACTTTGAAGCCACATTTGTTTTTGATAGAGCAACAAAATTGAGTTGAGCAGAATATCTGGTTCTCCTTTTGCTATGCATCCTCTGAACCCTTCTTTTTACCAAATTTTCTTTAGACCTGTTACATCAACCCTCTGTTATTGAATATATGTAAGTGCCTTCAAGTCACTTGTCAACTTATGGCGACCCCATTGATTTCATAGGCTCAAAAGAATTATTCTCAATTAAGGAAGGTTTTCAGAGTTATAACACCAGAACACATTAAAATCCAAATAGAAAGATAGCTTAGCTCTATTGAATATGTCTGCATAGTCTCTGTTGAATGAGGGAGTCTTACCTGTTGCCTGTAAGCTTAAGCCTGCATCCAATTTTCTGCGTGGCTTTCTGCTGATAAACAAGTAACAGAGGACACATACAATGATGATAAAAGCCAGCAGGACAACTGCTGCGACTGACAAGCCAACAAGCGCTCCGACACTGAGGAAAGAAAAAGAAATGTAAATTCACTGAGGGCATCATCAAACCTGGGAAAACATTGTGAGTATATGTATTTAATGGAGGAAGACAGATGTTTTGACAGCATAGGGAAAACTGATTTGTCTTTAATGTTCTTGTGGGAGCCAAAACATTTCATAGCAATTCATTATTGACCCATCCTGACAATATTTAAATCAGTAGACCAAACCACATGATTGTATTAACTAATTAATACAGTATAGAACCAGTGTTGTTGGTTAAACACACACAAAACAGAGATCAGATGAATTAAATGGAAATCAGAGGAATTAAATGCAAATAAAGTTTATCTGATGGAGTCCCCGGTGGCTGAAACTGCTGAGCTGCTGAATTTGCTGACTGAAAGGTCACTGGTTCAAATCCGGGGAGTGGGGTGAGCTCCTGCTGTTAAGCCCCAGCTTCTGCCAACCTAGTATTTCAAAAACATGCAAATGTGAATAGATCAATAGGTACCGCTCTGGAGGAAAGGTAACAGCGCTCCATGTAGTCATTCTGGCTACGTTACCTTGCAGAGGTCTACAGACAACGCACGCTCTTCGGCTTAGAAATGGAGATGAGAACCAACTCCCAGAGTTAGACACGGCAGGACTTAATGTCAGGGGAAGACCTTTACCTTTACCCTAAACTTTATCTGAGTAAAATTTTCTCCTTCTTCACTGCTACAAATATATAATTGGATAAAGAAAAGGGAATGTCTGTACACTCTCAGGCACCCATCCAAAATAGGCAAAACAATCCTATGCCAAAGCAAGAAATGTTTGTAAGAATACTGTTTAGAATTTTTAAACAAACCTAAAGACCGCGCATGCAGGATAAATGACTGAAAAACATGGAAAACATAGCTGACTAAAGACTTAAGGTAAGTCTATACTGGCTGCTTAAGCTGAGCATTATACTCCAGTCAGGCAGAACCCACTGCAAGGCTGCATTGGTACAGAGACAGTCCAAGACCACATAAGCCCATTCTCCACGTTGCCACTGCCATTCCCTGACAGCAGTAGAGCTCTGTGAAAGCAAGAGGCTGTCACCTGCTGCATCTGTGATGTCTGCTCAACCAGCAAGGAGGAGGACACTGGTCAAATAAATGGCAAGTACCAAAGCACATCTTACTCTAGGGTAAGGAAGGTTGCTCATCTGTAACCATGTTTCTTCTAGTGGTGATCTGTGAAATCCCACATATGGGTTCATCCAGTTTCTGAATGAAGATTATCTACTTTAAACTGGATTATATGGTCATTTCTCCCAAAATTCTCCTCCAGTTACTGATTGCAACCATCTGGTTCAAACTGCTCTCTTGACAATTTTGGCTCTTTATAATTCCCCCCCCCCCCCAGATTTCTTGGTCCTCTTGGCTTTCTAAATCTTCTTGGGGAGGTTGGGTGGGATTGGGGGTGGGATATGAGCTTTAAAGGGTGTTTTGGTGTATTCCATGTATTTTAATTCTGTTTTCCCCACACTGTTACTATTTAACTTTTACATTGCACTTTTTATGTTGATCATTTCCGCTCCCTTGGCAGCCACCTCTCCACAAAAGTCAACATTGACACTGAAATTCAACACCGCCTGAGCTCTGTGAGTAAAGCATTTTTCCGAATGAAGCAGAGTGTGTTTGAGGACCAGGACATCCATAGGGATACCAAGGTGCTTGTTTATAAAGCTATTGTCCTCCCAACCCTGCTATACGCCTGCGGGATGTGGACAGTCTACAGACATCACATGCAACTCCTGGAAGGATTCCATCAGCACTGCCTCCAGAAAATCCTGTAAATCTCTTGGGAAGACAAGTAGACAAATGTCAGTGTGCTGGAGGAAGCAAAGACCACCAGCATTGAAGTGATGGTCCTCTACCATCAACTCTGCTGGACTGGTCATGTTGTTCGGATGCCTGACCACCATCTCCCAAAGCAGTTGTTCTATTCCAAACTCAAGAATGGAAAACAGAATGTTGGTGGACAGGAAAAGAAAATTAAAGATGGGCTCAAAGCCAACCTTAAAAATTCTGGCATAGACACTGAGAACTGGGAAGCCCTGGCTGTGGAGCGCTCCAGTTGGAGGTCAGCTGTGACCAGCAGTGCTGCAGAATTTGAAGAGGCACGAATAGAGGGTGAAAGAGAGAAACATGCCAAGAGGAAGGCGCGTCAAGCCAACCCCGACCGGGACTGCCTTCCACCTGGAAACTGATGCCCTCACTTTGAGAGAAGATGCAGATCAAGAATAGGGCTCCACAGTCACCTACAGACCCACCCGGATACTACACTTGGAGGACCATTATCCTCAGACTACGAGGGATCGCCTAAGTAGTAAGTAAAGCACTTTTTAAACTTGTCCAGTGTGGATTTTTAGCCGCCTTGAGTCCCCACAGGGAGAAAGGCGGGGTATAAACAAAGTTAAGAATAATAATAATAATAATAATAATAATAATAATAATAATAATTCCAAACAGCTCAACTTATCTGCTGTTTTTTGTGCTAGTAGCTACAGTGGGTCACCTCATCAACACAATAACCTTTCTGATGAGAGCTCACACACTTTAACTCTCACACTTTAATTCCCAGCTTCAAAAGTAAAGAAATCAGGATTCCAATCTTCTTAAAATTATTCTTATGTTCTGTTAAAGATATATGCCTCTTTGGTCTTTAATTCGCTCATGAAAATACTACCCCCTCAGTTCTTGCTGTTTGACAAAAACTCTTTTGAAATACTCAAAAGTCAGACTACACAGAGAAACCATTGAAATCCACAAGCATGTGGACAATTTCAACAGAAAGGAGGAAACCATGAAAAAGAACAAAATCTGGCTACCAGTATTAAAAAAAACTCTAAAATCCGGACAGAAAGTAAAGAGGAACACTAAAAAACAGATAACATGAAATAAATCAGGGCCAGCAAACACCTGCAACAATGGACCCCCAGGCAGCAACCATACAGGCTTTGAAGCTGCAAGGCTATTCAATGATAATCAAGGAGGCCCATTGCAACATTCACACTTGCCTCTAACAGACAAGAGTTCTTTCTCCCCCCCTGGAAATTCCACAGATATATAAAACTCACTTGCCTAGTTTCCAACAGACCTCACAGCCTCTCAGGATGCCTGCCATAGATGTAGGTGAAACGTCAGGAGAGAATGCTTCTGGATCATGGCCATGCATCCCAGAAAACTCACAGCAACCCAACTCAAAGTCAATTTGCTCAGCCTTGCTCTCACTATCGGGTTCAAAAAGCCTCTCTTAAACATGGGTCAATGCTTTGTTTAATTCAATTAACAAAGTTGGTTTTGTGGGCCTTGCGTCCATCACCTGGTAGGCTTTTAATATGACTGGGTAAGCTCACAGTCTGCCTCCACTATTCCACCTGGCCTCGCTCACCACCAAGGTAGCAATTTAATAATCAGGAATGAGGCTTACATACCTTTGAGGATTATTTCCCGGACTCCCTTTGATCCAGGGAGAACCTTTTGCTGGCCCAAACTTATTCACTGAATCACAGAATCAAAAGGGACCAGAGGGGCCATCCAGTCCAACCCCCTGCCATGGAGGAAAAACATAATCAAAGCACCCCTATGAGATGGCCATCTAGCTTGTTTAAAAACCTCCAAAGAAGGAGGCTCCACCACACTCTGTGGCAGAGAGTTCCACTGCTGAACAGCTTTTAAAGTCAGGAAGTTCTTAATGTTCAGAACTGGCATTAACTGTGCAAAGCATCCCAACCTGTAGCAAATCGCTCACAGTTGTTGGCTTCAGTCAGCCATTCCAACTCAGAAATCTGAGATATCTCCCAATTGTATCAGTGCATGTGCTCTGTTATTTATACAGTGAGATCTGAGAGAATGAAAAAGGCTAAATTTAGAATAATCCTGTTAAAAGAAAATTTTCAGCCATTTAGTAGCAAACCATCTGGGAACTGGGAAAGAAGATGACATCGGAAAGAGAGGCATCTTGACAAAATTAATATGCTACATTTCAAACAAGGCAAACATTATTTTCATATCACACTTTGCAGTCTCAGGGACAGACCAGAGTGTGGATCCAGGCAAAAAACAAATGCACAAAAGAGATGTCAAAATAATTAATGGAGCGAGTCAGGAAAAAAAAAACAACCATTTGCCAAACATGAGAAAAAATAAGGCACTGGACTAGCATAATGATTGGATAAAGATATAAAAAATAATGTCAAAACTTTTAACTTCCCATCCCAGCAAAGTGTGCATATTTGAATTATCTCCCATGTGGAGATTCCAATTGCTTTACTTAAAATAGGTCACAATTGTAAAGCCCGGGAAAAGGATTTTTGGCAAATAAAAACTCTATAATTATACATTGGCCCAAACTAGGGCCCATGCATTCTGCCGCACACATACTCTCCTGCCTGGCACACACATAGGAAGTGAGAGGCTATTGTTAGCCAGATCAATCCTATGATCACCACATGCTCTAAATACACAGAATAGGTCTTTATGAAGCATATTTGTATTGTCAAAACCTTTCGTGGCCTGAATCACTAGGATGCTGTGAGTTTTTGGGGTTGTATGGCCATGTTCCTGAAGCATTCTCTCCTGACATTTTGCCCACATCTATGGCAGGCATCCTTGGAGGTTGTGAGGTCTGTTGAAAACTAGGTAAATGAGGTTTATATATCTGTGCAATGTCCAGGTTGGGAGAAAAAACTCTTGTCTGTTTGAGAAAGTGCAAATGTTGCTATTGGCCACCTTGATTAGCATTGAATGTCCTTGCAGCTTCAAAGACTGGCTGATTGCTACCTGGGGGAATCCTTTGTTAGGAGGGGTTAGCTGGCCCAGTCTGGAATTGTTTGAGTGTTCCTCTTTATTTACTGACCTGATTTTAGAGTTTTTAAAATATTGGTAGTCAGATTGTGTTCCATATTTGTAGAGCTTGTTTCCAAAAGGTCCATCGGAACAAATTTTACAGGAATGGGGAGGGGGAGTTCTGAGGATGTGCATTCTT